CAGTTACCTTTTGTAGGTCCTATAGTTAAGAATGCTTTGTGGGCCTCCCTCGTGGCGCAGTGGTTGAGAGTCCGCCTGCCGATGCAGGGGACATGGGTTCGTGCCCCGGTCCGGGAGGATCCCACATGCCGCGGAGCGGCTGGGCCCGTGAGCCATGGCCGCTGAGCCTGCGCGTCCGGAGCCTGTGCTCCGCAACGGCAGAGGCCACAACAGTGAAAGGCCTGTGTACAGCAAAAAAAAAAAAAAGAATGCTTTGTACATTTTTAAAGGGTTGTAAAAGCAAACAAACATTGGTAAAAAGGAAGAATAAGCTAGAGGCCTCTGTGGCCCTTATAGAAGAAGTTTGCTGACCCCATTTTTTGGCCTTTGCTCTAATGCAGAGGTCAGTAAAAACTATGCCAGCCACCCAATCCAGATGGCTGCCTGAGTTTTGTAAGTAAGGCTTTATCGAAACATAGACACACACACACATGCTTTTTAAAAATTTACTGTCTATGGCTGCTTCGGTGCTACAATGGCAGAATTTAATAGTTATAACAGAGCAAAGCCAAAATATTGACTCTCTGATCCTTGATAAGAAAAGTTGGGTTATGCCTCCTTGGACAATACATGGTTCTCCAATGAAACACAGATTTATTCCTCCTGGGAAGATCTTTTACTTTTCCTGTCTCTATTTTTTCTTCTGTTTCTTTTGCTTGGTTTATCCCATTTTTTCCTTCCTGTCATCCATAATTCTTTCTCATATTTTTCATCCTTTTAAACTCTTTCTTTCTCCATTAAATAGCCATAACCTGGAACTAAAATATATTTTTAAAATAATTTATCAAATGAAATTTTAGATTCCTCCTTAAATCTAAAGTAAAACTATACCTCTTTTTTTCTCATCACCTCCAATGCTCTAAGAGCCTAAAATTACTTGGAAGTCACTTTTCACTATGTTGTAAACATGTCTGTGAGTCAGTGACCCTTCACGAAAAGGACCTCTCACCTGAGAAACGAGAATCAGGGGTCCAGTTAGTTGCCTTCCCTTTTCCAAGCAAAACAAGGAACATTTATTGACATTTCAGTAAGTGAGAATTGAGAAAGTGACTTAATATAATCTGCTTTGAATGGCTCCTTACTTCCACTGGTATGTACATAAAGCAGTGTGAAGTTGAGATTGACTACTAAAAGTATAATGTCAGCATTTTAAATATAAGTGTATAAATACAATGTGATATAGATGATATCATAAATATAAAGTGTAATGTCAGCATTTTTAAAACCACAATATTCCCAAGCAGTGAGGAGATTTACAAGGACATGTTTACTGTCCCTCTCCCCTCTGCTGATTTCTTTTGTCTCCCTAATCCCATCGTAGTCTCCTTTATTTTATCATTTACCCGTGTACATGTCTTAAGTGTCATTTTTCTCAAAATGCCATCCTTGATCCTCTTCTCTTCTATGTCTACATTCTATGAGCGTTCTCATCTACTCCTCTCATTTTAACTACCAGCTAATGATTCCCAGTCCATAACTAGAGCTGTAGACGTTACACGTATATATGCATAACATATATATTAAATTGTCATCTCTAGTTCAGTGATACTGGGTTGAACTCAACACAGCATCTCCCAGTCCACCCCATAAATTTATTTCTACATTCTTCCTCATCAAGCATAAACTTAGGAAACAACCCACACTCCTTTACCCCTATTTTCAATCAATCTTAATTTTTTTTTTATTGCAGGGGGGAGGTGTACTGGTATCTGCAATTTACATTGAAATACATAAAAATGATAGATGAAAGGATTGAGAGATGGATAGATGAATAGGTATGTGATAAAGCAAGCATAATAAAATTTTAATTGTAGAATTAGGTGGTGGTTATATGTGTACTGACTGTAAAAGACTTTAAATATTATTGAATGTTTCAAATTTTTTCATTAAATGTGTTAAAAAATATTCTTTCAATTTGCCCCCAAAATATCTTTAGTGACTGCTACTGCTTTAGCCTAAACTCTCATCATCTCTTACCTAAACTATCATGTTTGTCCCTATTGGGTACTCCTAAAGGCAAGTTCCCTAAAATGTTGCTACTCACAGTGTGGCCCACAGACTGGTGAGCAGCCAGCACATCACCTGCGAGCTTATAGGAAACACAGGTCCCACCAGCCATACTGAATCAGAATTCACAGTTAAGAAGATCCCCAAGTAATTTGTATAAACTTTGAAGTGTTGAGAAGCTCAGCTCTATATGGTAACTCTATCCTACATCATTCCCTTGCCTCAAACCCTTCAGTGGTTTCCCATTGCTTACAGGGTGATACCTAAGACCCTCAGAGTGGTTGCCTGTTGTGAACATTTTGAATATTTCCAGAGCACATGTGTTGTGTCTCATTCTGACTCCCCCTTCTCTGACACTCTCCACATACCTTAACTCAGCCTAACTCTGTCCTGTTTGTCCTTCAAGATAATTTAGTCCACATTGCTTTCTTATTACTTTGGCAATATCTTTATTGTAGCCCTGTATTTCACACTTTTTTGAAATAAGAAGGTATCTGTTAGTTTTCCCACTAGGCTGTGAACCTCAAAAAACAGAAAATGTATCTTATTCATGATTCTATTCCCAAGTATTTGCACAGTTCTTGTTGCAGATGTGAGCTATTTAACAAATGCTTATTGAACTTAACCCAAAAGCAGCTGACTGTCCCTTCAGGTATATAGTTCAATGTGGAGTGGTGGTTCAGAAAGAGATTGCTAAAAGATAAGCAAACAAGTGAAACCAATTTTTATTTTATTATAGCTACACTCATTTAGCTATATCTACCTATCTACTTTAAGATAGGTAGATATAGTAGCTACCTATCTATATCTACATTCCAGATTCTGAATTTATTCATAAAAGACAGCTATTTCATTAAACATGTGTATTCTGAGTTCAAATGAAAAAGCCATACAAATTCACTCACTATGTATTTACTGAATGTCTATTAGAACAGGGCTATTCTTACTGAGATGTAATATTGCTTTTGTTGCACTTAAAGAGGTCTTCTAAGTGCTTGTTTTCCAAAAGTTATAGAAATGATATTTCATCAGTTTTCATGCATAACAGATGAAAATACAATGTCATATTTATCAACAAAAGCAATGAAATGTCTTTTAGGTATTCATTAGGCAATCAGTCACCCGTCAACAAAGCATAATTCAAATCTCATTTTGACTTTTGCCCATGAGATTATTACAACTAAATAGAAAATCAAATGTTTTGGGTATATACGTTTTAGTAGAGTAAATCAGAGCTGAAAGTAAAAAAACAAAAAGACTAACAATTCCTATCCTGGACCATGAAAAAAAATTCTTACAGTTTAAACCCTAATCCCATTCACCCTCCAATAAAGAGCAGTTTTTAGCCATATTAGTAGTATAATAAGATATATTTAAAGTTTTTTAAATTTAAGTATGTTGGCAGAATTCATCTAACTTTGAAATAATATTTTAGATGCCAATCACATAGAAGTAAGTAAGCTAATTATCATTTTATATAGAACGAATAAACTGAGAAATGGAGATTCTTCCTTCCAACCTCCTTCCTTCCACAATATTTATTGAGTGGTTATACTGAGGAAAACATTGTGCTATACTAGCCTCCAGGGATTCAAAGATAAAGCATTCCTTTATTCATTCCACAAATATTCAGCACCTTCTGCATGCCAGGCACTGTTCGAAGCCTTAGAAATACAGCAGTTAGTGAACAAAGCGCCTGTGCTCTTGGAGTTTATATTCTGGTGCGTGAGACAGACAAGTAAACAAATGGGTAAGGAGTACAGTTACAGACAGGTGCTCTGAAAAGTAAAAGACAGGGTAATGGTATAGAGTATACAATGCTGGAGAGTGGGGCAAGGATGACAGGGTAATAGTATAGAGTATATAAGGTCGGGGAGCAGGGCAAGGATGCTATTTTAGGTAGAATAGCCAGGAAAGTCCACTCTGAGAAGACAGTATTTGAACAGAGCACTGAAAACGCTGAAAAAGTGAGCAATTTGAAGATTAGGAGAGGGGAGAGGTATTCCAGCCAGAGGGAACAGCAAATATAGAGACTCTAAGATGAGACTGAGCTTGGGGTGTTTTCAGCAAGGAAAAAGGGAAGTTGGAACGCAGGGCACCAGGTAGAGTGTGGTAGGATGAAAGGTCTGGAGGGGAGGCATGATCTGAGGATCCTTTGAGGAGTTTGGATTTTATTTAAAATTGGCTGGGAAGCCACTCAAGAGATTTAAGCAGGGAAAGTTTGTGAAATGATTCTCTTAGAAAGATCACTCCAACTACCATTTGGAGAAGGAACCATAGAGAAACAAATGGAAGCAAAGAGTTTGGTTAAGAGGCCATTACAACAGTTCAGGAAATAAATAATAGTGTCTTAGATTTCTCTCCACCTAGGTAGAGAGAACTGGTTAAATTGGAGGTATATTATAAAGGTAAAGCTGATAGGATTTGTATTGGATTTAGATTTAAGGGAATTGAAGGAGAATAGTCAAAGAAGACTCCTGTGTTTAAGTGATGAAGTGACTAGTAAATAGTGAGCTAAGATAGTAAGTGTAGGCAGAAGTTTGTGGGAAATTGAGATGATATAAGATGCCCCTTAGACATCAAAGTGGAAAAGCCAGGCAGGCAGTTTGATGTGTACAACTGGAGCTCAGAAGACAGGTCAGGGCTGGAAGAACAAATTTGGGAGTAATTCACACATAGATGACATTTGAAGCCTAGGGGCTGGATGACATCAGCTAAAGAAGAAATAAATAAAATAAGGCTTAGCACTGACCCAAGTCATAATATCTAGAGCCAATGAGAAAGTTTGAGAAGGTGCAGCCAGTGATATAGGAAGAAACCCAGGAAGCAGATCAGGTTTCATGGGCATGTTACCAGTGCAGCACACAGTGCTTTGCACTCAGAAGGGCCCCAGACTTGGTTGCTAAGCTGCCACCAATTCTTACTTATTTTATCTTTGAACTTGTGTTTTGTAGGTGAAGTCTGATGGGACAATGGAGCATGCCAGCGAGGAGAGACGATACACACATTATGTGTATCAGCCATTCCTTGACACCCCATTCATATTCCTGATGCCCCATGAGCACAGAGTTCTAGGGGACCCATGATGCATTGGGTGTTCAATGAGGCGCCAATCAAGTACATGTAAGTATATTACACCGACAACAGAGCAAGTGGTGGTGTTGGTGCTGACAGCCTTGAGAGGCGGTGCTTTCTGTTCAAACCAGAATTTGCTTTTAAAACAGACAGGAGGCAGTGGTGATCTAAGAAGCATGAACAACCAAAGAACCCTATCCGATCCTTCCTTACTTATGTTACTGCTGTGATTGAATTGGGTCCTGCTGCTTGCTGCGTACAGAATCAGTTACATACTGACAAACGGTAGAAAGGAAAGGTGCTTTTAATCAGAATGCCGGCAATCTGCGGAGACGGTGGACTCAAGTGTTCCCCAAAAACCGCCTCTGAAGATTCTGCTCGGCCATGAAAGTTTTAAAGGAAAGGAAGGAAGCAATCTCAGTTAATCATTGAGATGAGGGTCAGAGTCATCGCCATTCCCCACTGTGTGCAGGCTTGTCACTCGTGATCTTCCTCTAGATGTCATCTTGTTCATAGAACTTGGTCACACAGTTTGTTTGGAAGATTACTGAAGGGGAAGCTAGGGAAGACATCTTGTTATCTGTTAATTACTTATTCTTCATTTCTACTTCTTTGATCTACGGAAAGAACTGACCAGTTAGGGAAGGTATTTTTTTATATATATAAATTTATTTATTTGTTTTTATTTTTGGCCGTGTTGGGTCTTCGTTGCTGTGTGCGGGCTTTCTCTACTTGCGGAGAGCAGGGGCTACTCTTCGTTGCGGTGCGCAGGCTTCTCATTGCGATGGCTTCTCTTGTTGCCGAGCACGGGCTCTAGGCGCGCGGGCTACAGTAGTTGTGGCTCGCGGGCTCTAGAGCGCAGGCTCAATAGTTGTGGCGTACGGGCTTAATTGCTCCGTGGCATCTTCCCGGGCCAGGGAAGATGCTAGGGCCAGAGATGAGTAGAGCATGGAGGTGCTTGGTTTAAAAGTTAGTTACAATATAGTTTTGTTAAAGTGACAAGAAAAGGGGCTTCCTGCTGAGGGTCGTTTCCTGCAAAGAGCTGCTTACATTACTTCCCTGTATTAGCCAACCACTCACCCTGAAAAAGGAAATGTAGAAGGAGCGGGAAAGATAGAGGAGGCCATAGAGACTTTTCCTTTCTCATCCATAAGCCAAAAATAGAGAGTATTGATAGAATGCATGCATTTCAAGAAGTGAAATAAAAATAATTAGATTAGTCTTGTGCAGCACTTCCACTGTTCTGGAAAAAATTAAAAATATATATGCGTGAATGGACTACAAAATATGAATTGTGTAATTCATGCGAGTTAAATGCTCTTATATTTTCATTAAATCTGGCATTGCATAATGTAAATTTGAATGGTAAAATTCATGTCAATAATTTAAATTCTAAATTTTTCTTTATTTATGAACAACATAGAAAGCAAATTTAAAAAAACATGACAAGTTGAGGGAGAGACAGTGGAAGAAAGGAAAAAGCTTTATAATTTACTACCTTAGGGCGTTTTTTCCTTGCTTTTTGAACAAGGGAGCCCACATTTTCATCTTGCTCTGGGCTCACAAATTATGTAGCTGGTGCCGCCAGAAGAATATGATGTCCTGGAGTCCAAGTGAAGAAAGTGCTTCCAGGAGGAGGGAGGGATCTGTCAACTATGTCAAATGCTGCTGAGAATTGAGTGAGATAAGGACAGAAAATCAATCATTACCTTTGGCATGGAGACTATCCAGTTAAAGTCAATTCTGTCAGAGATGGTGAAGTATATGTATATAATAATTTAACATTAGTAAAAATAAAGGGGGAGATTTATACACTCATTTTTATCTGTGATGTTTTCTTTTAAATATATTAGCTTTATTCTAATTATGTTTCAAGAATATAGCATTTGTTCAATGATAAAGTGGAATCACCCTAAAACTGAAACAACTTAAGAAATATAATTAAATTATTACTGTTTATATCTTCTATTGTGGCAGGTTTAAAAATGTTATTTTCTTTCTCTTTATTTTCTTTCTGTTTTTATTTTTCGCCTTTACTTTCAAGATGCCTACACAAAATGGAGTAAATTATAATTAGATCAAATTGGCACAAAAAAAGTTTGTTAAATAAAAACATGTATGTTTCCTACATGAAATGTAGTTGTAATACAACGACCAAAACCCTGCCCTCTTCCTTATTATTATTACCGTAAAAATACAATTTTTGAGTTTATTCTGTAGTACCTGAAGTCAGCCACAAGATGGCAGATGTTACCATAGTCAACAAATCGTTACTTGAAACTGGATATAAGATCACTTAAAATTATGATTCTGCAGAAACGTAAAACCCTATTGATTCATTCTCCCCACCCTTCCTGCTCTTGAAGAACTCATTTTGGGGGCTTGAAAAAGCTTTCCCATATACATATACAAGATGGATAATTCAGAAAGCAATTCTGGAGTCCTATCAGCTCCATAAAACATAATATTAAATCACAAAACTGAGTAACAAATTGCATTTAAATGACTGTGAAGATGAATGGCAGTGTTGTACTGGAATGTTTTCAACCAAGGCCAAATGGATAACCACATTGATCTTGCATTTTATATCTTACAAAGAAGGACATGATGTAAATAAAGATCACAAAGCAAAGCTAATATATTTACTGCTATGTTAAACTAGTTACAGAGGATTAAAAAAAACTTTTTGATAAATTGTTTGTTCATTTGATTACTATGTTGGTTATTTGTTCCTTATATGTCAGTTGCAATTGAAGAGTACAGTGAGGAGGAAGAAACCTGAGCTGTTAGGATAATGTTATCTGCAGAGTTTAATGCTGTCCCCCACATATAAAGATTGAATTTTAGAATCTGCTAGAGATTATAATTCTAACTAATCAAATTCCTTTTGTGGGGTTGCACATTATAATACTTATATTTTGACTGATAACTTGAAATATATTTAAGCAAAAGGTGAACCTTTGTAAGTTTGTAATTTTCCTAAGGTAATGCAAGTACTACTCTTCACTTATGAAAAAGGGATTTTTTTTTTTTCTGTTTGACTATTTTGTGAACATTTTATTAAGATAGCTGTGGATATCCTGCAATATTTCATACCAGGTATCTTTTTTTTTTTTTTTTTTTTGGAAAATAGTGAAAGAACAGGAATTGATTAGCATGATGGGAAATTTTGGAACTTGAAAATAAAGAATCAGGGTCAGAAAATAAACCATATTCCCTACTGGAATTCTGCATCACTCCTGACACTCTTTCCTCTCTCATTCCATGATATGTACTCTCTCCTTTATTTTCCTCCCATCTCTCTGCCTGCCCCTTCTCAGTCTCTTCCCTGGGTTCCTCTTCTGTCTCTTCTTTAATTCTTTGGCTCTCAACATTTTTCTTATCACTCTTCACTATTGATTTATAAAATCTTGAGCATTTAATTCATTACCAGTGTTTCAACTGCAATGAATAACTAGCTTCTCTCCAAATCCTATGAGTCAGCATCACATAGGGGTTATATTTAAGCTCTGGCGTTAGACTGCTTAGGCTCAAATACTAGTTTGACCACTTAATGGTTAGGTGATATTGATAAATTACTTAACCTCATTGTCTTAGTTTCCTGTCCTGGAATTTTAGAACGATAATAACTCTAAATCTTGTTGTTAGGTTAGAATGAAGCAATTCATGTAATGCGCTTAGCACAGTATCTGGCAAAAAGTAAGGACCTAATAAATATTCCATCTAGGGCTTTTTCTCAGAAAATAGAGCCATATACAATGGAGATCCTCACTCTGATGTCTTACAAAAAGCTTAAGATGATAGATCCAAATCTTACAAATCAATATATTACCATCCCTAAATCAGTTTCCCCAAAGATGGGAAAACTTTACTGTTTAATATTTAATATTGTAGAGTTTTTCCTCTAAAGTCAAGAGCAAAGGTACCTACCATCCATAACATTTATCATTATGTTGCAGATACTAACCAGTGCAATTAGACATGAGAAAGCAATTACTGAACTATGAATAGGAAACAAAGAAGTAAAACTATGTTTATTAAGAGAGGATGTGATTATACAGCTGGAAAATTCAAAAGAATCCATGGAAAAATACAATAATCAACAAGAGAATCTCGATAAAATAACAAGTTATAAAATGAGGATATAAAAATTAATAGCATATGTATGTATATATGTTTACAAACCTATACATAAACATATATTTGTATAAATAAAAAACAGTTTGAATATATAATTAAAGAGAAGACCCCATTTATGATAGAAAATAAAAGAGAAAAAATACTTTAACATAAAGTTAACAAGAAATGTCCAAAACTTATATGAGCAAAACTGGAAATTTCTTTTGGAAAAAAATAGATCTTAATGAATGGAAAGACATATCAATTCTAGGAGAGAAAGAAAGGCCAACATCATGAAGATGTCAGTTTTCCCTAATTTAAGGGCTAGGAGTAAAAGCCACTTACAGTACTGTAAAGCCTCTGTAATTCAAACAATTCTATATTAGCACATGAATAGGAAGACAAACCAAAGGAAAAAGAGAAAATCCAGAAATATATCCAATTGCATATGGAAATTAATATACATTATATGTGGCATCACACATCACTGGGTAAAAGATGGACTTTTAAATAAATGTTGTTCTGATTACTGGGTAGCCATATGGAGAAAAATTAAATTGGATCCATTTCTTACACCATAAGCCAGGATAAATTCCCAACAGATCAGATATTTAAATCAAAGGTATAAAAAAGCACCATGCATATATTTGAAAAAGCACTTGTGAATTCCTTTATAATCAGGGGATGAGAAAGCATTCCTAAATATGACTCAAAATCTAGAAGCAATGAGAAAAAAGATTGACAAATTTTATCAGATGAAAATTAAAAATCTTTTCATGGTAAAAATACCATATCAGACACAAAGTAAAAAATACAAATAAGAGCCTGGGAAAAAATATTTGCAAAATATACAGTGAAATGTGTAATGATATATAATACAAAGGTACCTCTAATATATAAAGAGCTTCTAAAAACTGAGATGAAAAAGGCCAAGAACAGATCTACAGAAAATTCATAGAAAAAGATATGAAAATTACTCTGAACTGTATGAAAAGTTGCCCAACTTCATGCACAAGTTGATATAATTGTTCACTGGGTGATGGGTACATGTGTGTTCATTATATACATGTATATCCAAATTAGATGGTGTCATTCATCTGATTGAGAACTTCAGGTGGCTTCTCACAGCCTACAGTAAAAAGTCCACTCCTTAGCATGGCATTTAAGACTTTTTAGAATCTGAGTTTTGCCTAGTTGTTTAGCCAAATCCCTCACTATTACCCAACTCCACAATATGTTTTGGTTGCATCAAAGGTTTTGTTATTCCCGAGATGTGGCATGTATTTTTTCATCTGTCCATGCCCTTCAACATGTTATTTCTGCTGTCCACAGTGCCCTTTTCTCTGTTCTCTGCCTGGGAAAATTCTACCATTCTTCAAAATATACTCAAAATTCAAGTATTTGAACTTGCTTGCTCCTTTGAGTTTCCAAGACACTTTCCACAGGCATCTATTAAAGCCCTTCTTACACAGTTCTATAATAATTGGCTTTGATGTATGCCTCTGCCATGGATACAGGGTACTTTCTTGCCCGTTTCTTTAGTATTTCTACTACTTAGCACAAGCCTGGCCCGAAAGAGGCATGGAATACATTTGTTGAATAATATTTTTATGCACTTGCCA